TATCAGCTAACTGAAATAAAATTTAAGTAAACAAACAAATAAGTAAATATGGTTTTTTAATATATACTGTATCATAGTCTATTGTATATTAAATAAATATGTATCATAAGAGCAAATCTCATTAATATTTGACTTGGCTTTTTTAAGACACCAGGAAGGTTTACACTCTCAAACAATTGCAGCAGCTAGTAAATTCACACATAAATTCTTACATATTAATTGTGTTCTTTTCTGGGATAAGCAACATTATATACAGCACAGATAAGGAATAAGAAATCATAAGCCAAAGGAATTAAGGTATGAGATGAGAAAAGGAAACACACCTATAACTGATTTATATCAGCACCATTCAACATTTTTTCCAAGCTTAGAATTTTCTAATATTCTCACTGCATTTCTTTTCATCTATTTTTCTTGAACACTAATATTCGCGAAACATTTTTCTTTTCAATACATCACTATAATTCTTGTAAAATCTCTAATGTGCTCTGTCTTCCATCCATTTATTTAGTTTCATCCTAGATCATTTCACTACTTTTATTATTTTTAGGTCCATCCATCCTGGTAGAATTCTTTCTTTTGACTTTTCAGCCATTTCCAAACCCATTTTTTTTTCTTTCAAAATCACTCTGCATTTTATTGGTCACTTTTAAATTTAGCAGTTTCGTTCTCTTAGCTACCTTGCATGCAACTATCTTTTTCTATTTTTTAATCTCAGTTATGTTCTCATATGAAATTCTTTCTCATCCAGAGCCTCTTTTATTGCAACAGATGTACTGAGCATCCTTATTCATACTGGCCTTTTATATACTGTAGCTCCACACGCTTCTGTAGTTCACTGTAAAATCATTCTTTTCACTCTATTCCAGTTTCTACATTTTTTTATGTCCAACGGTTATGATCCAGGAATTTTTATGCATGTGTATGTGCTTTCAAGTCAGTTTTGACTCCTGATGACTGCCTGTCCTGCTATTTTCTTGACAAGATTTTCAGAAGAGGTTTGCCATTGCCTGCTTTCTAGAGCTAAGAAAGAGTGACTGATTCAAAGTCACCCAATTGACTTTGTGCCTAACGCAGGACTACAACTCACAGTTTTTGGTTGCTAGCTTAGTACCTTAACCACTAATGTAGGATATATATGTTCTTTTCCTACCATTCTACTTTTACTCTTGTTTCCTTCACTTCTTTCCTCTCTTCTTATAGGCATTTTTTTCATCATAATCCCTCAAATCAATCATGCTTTTAAATTTATATTCATTCCATTGCCATGTGTCCATGTAGATAGACTTATCATTAAACTTTGTATTTGAAACAGCCCTTTTTCTAATCAGGTACTTAACAGACAGTCACCATTCTTATTAATTCTTGGATCTCTGAATCACCAGTCACTTTTTTGAATGATTTTTTTCTAATTCATACATATCAACCTAACAATTTTATCCCATAGAGTTGTCTTCAAAATAGTGCATCTGTTTCTCATAGCTCATTTCTGGTTCTTACATTATCAATGAGTGTCACACACAATTATCACCAAACTTTGGATTTCTAGCTTTTATTTGCTCCATAACAACCTAGATGATATTAGATCATATTTTCTGACATATATTTTAGCTGTTCCTCTCATAATTAAGCCTACCCTCCCAATTTCCTGTGTTTCCAGGAGCATTAGCTACAGAACACAAGTATTGAATACCTTCATTAAGATCATTCATTAATTCATGCTCTTTGCCTTTTATAGAACATGCAAAGTAGCAATTGTCCATATACCACAATTGTCGCCGGATGAACTTTGACACTGACATTTTCTTTTGCCTGTCAGGTCTTTGGTCACCTGAGCTTTCTTATAATGCTTTCATAAGATAAAATATAGACTAGACTGTCATTTTTGGCCATAGTTATGCCACATGCAGCATTTCCTCAAACCAAAAGGACAGTATCGGTCACTTTTAACACTTCTGACCTTTATGTAAATTCAATCATTTTCTGCAAAACCTGGATAAAACCTGATATGGAAGGAACACCAGGCTCAAAATTATAATTATTGGTTTCACATAGTGGGTTCCGATGGAGAAGGCTATGTGGTGACTAGGAGTCTTTATCTTTTATTAATGGCTTCCCAGGAGCAATAAAAAATTAATGTAGATTTGGGTGTTGGAAAAAATGGCAGAATAGCCCTAACCTTCCTTCCCCATTTTCCTCAATTCACAAATTAAAGTTGACACCATACTGAGGGTTTTGCTTAAACTAGGACAAGCGTAGGCAACCTCGGCTCTTTTATGACTCATGGACTTCAACTCCCAGAATTCCTGAGAGTTGAAGTCCGTGAGTCATAAAAGAGCCGAGGTTGCCTACCCCTGAACTAGGAGTTGGCAATCCTTTGCCCATTGATCATATGCAGCCTTGAAATTCCTCCTTCAGGAATTTTAGCCCCAGGAAATTGCACTGCTGAATGTTGACAGCACAAAGACTGAGTGACGCAATTTGTCAGTCATAGAATTTCTATGGATCCTTGGTTAAATCACTGATGTATCATTTTGTTGAAATATAATGTATGTACTGTAGATGCATATTTATATTGCCCCCATTCCTCAAGAGCTCCAGAAGCATAGTTAATGTTCCCTCTGCACATTTTTCCCCACAACCACCTCAGAATAGGACAACTGATCCCAGCCAACTTGTCATGGCCAACTCACCACAAGGCAACTCACCAGGGGACGATTCAAACTGGATAACTCAAGAGAGGAACAAGTAGAATTGCAGCTCATCCCCCAGCCTTGAGGAATTCTAACTTGAGAAGGTTCAAATCTAAAGCAAGACAGCACCCACTGCATTTAACCTGTCCCTCTCTTAAGTTATCCTGTGTTGAATTGTCCCGCAGCAAATTGTCCTGTGGCAAGTTGGCCAGGGCGAATCAGCTGGGATAAGTTGGCCAGACAAGTTGGCCTCAACAACCCTATGAGCAGAAGTAGGTAGGGCTGACAGAGACTGACTGCCCATGTATTCCTCTGCTTTTCAGATCTTTTTTTATATTTATATCTGCATCAACAGAAGTTTTTTTTTTTCAATTGAAAATATTGAAATCACTTTTTTAAAAGGAGTTTTCTACCCTGCTGAGAAAATTATTTGTTCAGCAGAAAATACTGATGGAGGAGGAGGGGGGGGGGAAGAGAATTTTCAAAGAAGTGTGCAATGTTAAGACATGTCCAGACTCACCCAGGTCACAGGGTACATCTTTTACCAGAGCTGGGACACCCAGGGCCAGTGATATGTTTGCATATGTCACTGAGGAAGTTAAACGTTGACAAAAGCCTCTCCTCCTGAGTCTAATGTGATTACAGTCGATAGACCATTGCTGCTGTTTTAAAAACCATTTTTGGGAAGGAAAGCAGGGTAGTGCTGGCTGGTTCAAAGTAAACAGAGCCAAACCAGTTTTTATTACATAAAGGTGTAAAGTCCATGCATGCTAGTATTCCAAGTTTCAAATGAAATATCAAGCCAAATACGGTCAGCTTTCTATGTTTATGTAGGCATATATATATATATATATATATATATATATATATATATATATATATATATATATATATATATGGCTCTGTGATGTACAGTTCTACTCTTGCACACACCTGTGTGTGTGTGTGTGTGTGTGTGTGTGTGTGTGTGCATATCATATCATATATCTCTGGTACTAATTATGCAGTTGCCTACTTCAAAGCTGGTATTATATATGCCTAAAAGTAAGTGTTCACTTGTGGTCTTGGAAAACACATTACTTTCTTGCCTCTGTCTCTCCTCTTTTCAAACTGGTATACAGTGTGTGTTTTCTTATTTTTTTAGGATTATTAATAAGATCTAATCTGATGCTAATTTAGATATGAGTACTTTACCATTCCAGACTTGGGGACCAATTACTGGATATCCAGTACTAGGCAAATACAAAAATATAGTGGCTGTTGGTGCATTATGTGGAGTCTGTTCATTTGTCTTGAAGTCCAAAGTTGACTTCTCTTTACAGTTGTAAGCAGCATTCTGTCTGAAAAAGTAATTCTTGTATGAAAGAATAGTTGTGCTATGTTCAATGGGCACAACTTAATTCTGCTGAGCAAAATGGTTTAAATACTGCAATAACAAATCCCCCTCCTAATTAGTATCTGGGACATCTGTGTAGTTTTCTTGATAACTGTACAGAATTTGTGAGCCTTGGCCACCTTCTGTGGTGATGTTTCTACTTTCTAATCTACGTAGTCTACAGGCTTAGGATTCTTAACCATTAACCATGTCTTTAACCAGATCCAATTCTCCATAGCTGTCTTGGCATAACTATCAACATCTTATATCACACCTTTTTCTACTTGATTTTTTTTAATTGCAAAAGCATCATATTGAGGATCTCAAGCAAAGGTCAAATGGATCATGGTTTATAGAGTGACAACAGCCATAATGCATTTGTAGAAGAATTAATTTAAGTGATATTTAAAGGTTTTGAACATATGTAAAGTATACACCCACAATCAGTCATAATTGCACCTTGTTTTAAGGGCTGATTTTCCAGCTTATAAAGTATGACTTTCAAATAAACAATTAAATAATATCCACATTGAATGTAATCTACAGGAAGCTCTCCCACACAATTCCCACTAAAATTAATTTAGTCATACTAATGATAATAAACTTCCTGGTAGATTATACATTTGTTGATTATTTATTCCCTCCCTACATGTATTGGATTTCCTTCCCCCAGGGGAAAAAAAATCCAACATATCACTCCTGATATTAATAAAAAAAATAACCACTAAAAACAGAAGATTTGCAAACATTCATACACTGTTGATAAGTGTTGTTTTAAAAATCTTTACAGAACTATGTCACACCGGGAATTCTGAGTATTTGTGGCTCTGTTCATTATTTTTCCAGGATGTAAATGTAATTGTAGTGATGTAACTTTTTATTTTATAAATACTGAAGTCTCACTTTTTTTCCCTCTTTCTTTTTAATTTCAGGCTTTACAATGGTTGATACCGAAATGCCGTTTTGGCCCATGAACTTTGGTATTAGCCCAGTCGATCTTTCTACAATGGATGAACACTCCCATACATTTGACATAAAGCCCTTCAGCACCGTTGATTTTTCCAGCCTTTCTTCTCCACATTATGAGGACCTCCCTCTTGCAAGAACTGACCAGATAGCCCTTGACTATAAATATGATGTGAAATTTCAAGATTGTCAAAGTATGTAAGCTTTTTATGACTTGATCATTGTAATTAATGGAAGAGTGTTCAGTTTTAGTTGGTATCAAACACTACAGCTTATAAATTAACTAGCAAATAGCTGGAAAATAAATCACAGGTTTTCAGGTTGTGAAACCTGTTAGTTTAAAAAAAATCCCCCCCCCCCCGGATCTGGAGGCAAAACTCAAATGATTAAAAAAAAAAATGGCTGCACTGAAGTGGGTTTTTTTTTCCCCTTAAGTCTTTCACAAAACTCCATCAACTTAACACAGTTTGAAAATTTTTGCTTTATACAGTTTGGGATACAGATAAATATAAATATATTCTTCCATGGTAGAAGGCCACTGATTGATTGATAGGGGTGTTGATAATTTATACCATGTTGTAAATTCTTGTTTTGTTGCTATACCATGAATTTGAAGCCAGTAGGACCTACAAAAAAGACTCTGTGGTACAATCAATACATATTTTAAGCTTATAGAATAAAAAATCTGTTGCTTGGCCTTTGCAACAAAAGACTATCACTTTGTGTACACGTAATCAATTTAAAAGTTTGGGAAAGCAATTTTTATTATTCTAAAGTTATGTACATTTAAGTGGGCTGTAACATATATCAAAGATAAACCCACCTCTCTTCTGTTTCTCCTTGAGTTTCCCCCCCCCATTCATTTTTAATCTGATATTACTGTACCTTAATTGTTTATTCCATTGTTTATCTTTATTATTTCATTACTTTGATACTGTTGTTTTTACTCTTCATCTCTCTGTTACTGCTGTAAGCTGCCCAGAGTAGCCCCTTGGCAAAATGGGCAGAAAATATATTTAACAAACAAACAAATAAGCAAATATTAGTTCATAAATTGGTAATTTTAACTAAGATTGATTCACAATATTCATATCCCACCCCAGTCGGAATACTGTGGATGGGATGCAAATACAAAAATCAAAGACAATCAAGAGTACAAATCTTTAATCTATACATATGGTAGCCACCATCCTTTAATCAACTGGTGCTGTAGCCTCCTGAAACTTCACCCCATTTAGTTATTTTGGGAAAGGCTAACAAAGTAATGGCCGTGTTTATCTCTGATGGGGCGATTGCCACAAAGCCTGTCGCCCACATATTTCAAATGCTTATCATCAGCAGGTCCTCTCTAAATGTCTGAAGTGGTTTCAATTCTGGCAAGAGAAAAGATGAAATATAAAAGATCTGACATTATAGATTTGACAGTATAGAATTCACAGGGAACTAATGTAGTACTTGTTGGTTGAAAGATACACTAAGAAGCAGCATTAGATTTATTTATTTTTTATGGCTCACTAACTGAATTTCAAAATTAGTAGTGCAGTAAAAATATAAAGAATACAACAAATACTTTTTATTCTTGGAATTAATGTGCACTAAAGCAAAGATTGTGTAACCAATCTGTGTAATACATGAAGCAGGATTGGGAGAACTAACAGTCTGCTTTCTACTTCATGGTTGAAGAACTTTAGTTTTATTTTTCACTCAGCACAACTTTTAGAGAAGAATAATTTAGTAGAGCATGTTAACATCTGGGGCAATACAGTCTCCTGTTCCAAAGTATTAGATGCCGCTTAATCTTTAATATGACTTTGGAGGCATAATGGCTTAGAATTTGCCATGGGATTTTTAAATAATATCCCAAATCAACAGTTAATGGCATGCTCCTTTTGAAAGCCCACACTTGATTTTATGAACTGAGGCATGTATAAGATGCTTAATTGACACCAATATGTTTATTATGCTAGACAATTATTTCATAGCACTTTATACAGAAGCCTGTACCAGTTATACAGATGTAATTATTCATTTTGAAAAGTCCTATTCATACTTCCATAGTATATAGTATATATTATGAAATATACTATGTATATTCATAGTATATAGAAATTCTAAAGGATATTATTCCCATGTTTCAGTATAAGGAATAGCCTGAGAAGTATCAGCAGGATATGTGGGCAAATCTCAGCCCCTTCCCCTGGACACTGGCCTTTTCAGTATTATAGTTTTAAAAAAATATGAAAATATTGTGTTTACTATAGTTGAAACTATGTTTTGAATAGGATTTCAAATTATGCTTTAGAAAGATAATATAATTGGTGGCCACCAATGTTTTATTTTAGCTTCTTCCACTAGAATGGCATAAAAAAAGTTCTGCATATGATACATGAAGAAATATAAAATGGACTCACAATGCATTTGGAGAAGAGAAAAGGAAGGTTGGGAATGGGGGTGAGGGTTAAATCTCATTTATGAGAATTAGGCCATAGTCTGGTCAGTGAATTGTTTAAGGTCTTTTGGGAGTTCATACCTGAGATATCTGTCCAACAAGATTAGTTAATAATTCCCGGTTGCTGATGTCAGTAACTATATATTATATATATATTTAAAAAATCTGAATCTTGAATACATTCAGATTGGTAATACTTATTAGAGATAATTGGTAATAATCAGGGGTTTGGTTAATCCTTCTTTTGAAATCTTCCTCTTATTTAGATGCAATTAAAGTGGAACCTCCATCTCCACCATATTTCTCAGAAAAACTTCAGATGTACAGTAAACCTCATGAAGAAGCCTCTAGTTCTCTCATGGCTATTGAATGCAGAGTGTGTGGGGACAAAGCTTCTGGGTTTCATTATGGAGTGCATGCATGCGAAGGTTGCAAGGTAGGTAATTATAATAATGCATGATTCTTTTAAAAAATATATTTATTACTTTAAAATATTATCAGCCAGTGGTGGGATTCAAATATGTGAACAACTGGTTCTCTGTGTGGACGCTGCTTCTGGAAGTCCGTTCTGGGCCTGGACCTCCGAGGCCCAGAAGGGACTTCTGGAAGCAGCATTAACGCATTTCTGGTGGGCCGTTCTGGGCCTTGCAAAAAAGGGCTAGGCTTCAGGGGGCGCCATCCAGTACTGGGATTCAGCCAGTTCGCCGAACTCAACAAAAAATTAGCTACTGGTTCTACTGAACTGGTGCAAACCAGCTGAATCCCCCCACTGCTATCAGCCCTCACCATTATATCAATAATCAAAGATAAGAATTCTAATTCAAAAAATTCAGTTTATTTCTTTTCTAAGAACATGCTGCTTCTGCTTATTTTGTATTAATAGAGCCTAAAACATCATCTGAGTTAGTTTTAACTAAAAATTCCTTGTCTGTTTTAACTAATGGGCAAATGAAGTAAGGGACATACTTTTCTAAAAGTATATTTTACACGCTAACTTTCTGTTGTTAATCACATTTTTAGAATTGTTAGAAAAAAAAGCTAAATTGGTAATTGTGCTTGGTGTTTCAGGGTATACTAAAGGGCAGAAAAAAGCTGAAGTGTAATATTCTAATTAGACAAATATATTTCAAACAGGAAGTAAGACAAAGTAAAAAAAGTGTTTCTCATGCACTCCAAGCTATGAGATAAATACAACCCTTTAAGATATATCACTGTAGACCCCCCAAAGCATGTTCAATCTTAACATTTTGTCATATTTACTAATTTATTTATTAAAATTTATTTATTAAATAAATAAATTTATTAAAAAGCCTTCTCTATTAAACATATCACTTTCCCAGAAACCATAATTTAATACAATTCTTTACATGAGTATTTAAAATGTTTTGCAGAATTATAAATAAGAAGCTAGAAAATTATTCCATGCATGTGCACACACAGTTTCTCTATTAAGTATACTTAACTCTTGTAGATTATCTTAACTAAGCTACAGTAAACTTACCATAAAGTAAATTACACTGGAATTAAAAAGAGTACCTTTAATGTTAATTTTTAAAACACACATACACACCATATTGATCTGCTCTGAATGAGTACTGAGAAATCAAATTTCAAAAAATATTACAGATTGTGATCAAATCCACAATAAAATGAAAATATTTCTGGCCAAAAATACATGATTGGCTTTCAAATCAAATATGATATAGTGGGAAATTCCTTTTGGCTAATATTTTCTGTATTCCTTTATTTTATTGAAGGGTTTCTTTCGCAGAACAATCCGTTTGAAATTAATATATGATCGATGTGACCTCAACTGCCGCATTCATAAAAAAAGTAGAAATAAATGTCAATATTGCCGATTCCAAAAGTGCCTTGCAGTTGGAATGTCGCATAATGGTAAGCATCTGAATTTCTGGTTAGTTTATTTATTTATTTAGGAGACTTATATACCGCTTTAAGTGCAAGCACTCTCTAAGCGGTGTACACCAGTAAGCAATGTATATATATATTTACATTGCCCCCAACAATCTGGGTCCTCATTTTACCTACCTCGGAAGGATGGAAGGCTGAGTCAACCTTGAGCCGGTGAGATTTGAACCGCTGACCTGCTGAACACAGTCAGCTAAAGTGGCCGGCAGTACTGCACTCTAACTGCTGCGCCATCTCGGCTCTTGGTAATGGTGTATCAAGATGAATTGCATCTGTTGTCTATGTAAACTTTCTCCTCTTCTGCCATTATGAGGCTCTATGCACTTTGAATATACAGAGTTTATAACAGGGTTCAGCAGGTCTCTATATGGGATGTGACATCCTGTGCAACCTGCACACATAAATACTCTTTAACAGTTGCTTGAAAATTTGTGAAATTTCAAATGTTTCAGTAACCTCGCTTCCATTATATCACATAGGAACATATATATTTAAAAATATACTTTTAAATATGACCTGGATGATCGATGGATCCTTGTGCCTGTTTATCCTGTCTTGTCAAACCCAAATTCAACTAAATTAAAAAACAACAACCCCAAAATGGAATACCAGCCTGAAAATACTGAGAATGTATTGGAAGATCTAAGCCAGTGGTGGCGAAACTATGGCACACGTGCCAGAGGCAGCACTCGGAGCCCTCTCTGTGGGCACACATACCGTCGTCCCAGCCCCGCCTCCTCCCACAGGTCCCTCCTCACCAGCAGCCCCCCCAGAGGAGAGTCGCCCCTGGGTGTGGCCCACACAAAGCAGCGCAGCCAAGGACATGATAGCTGGACAGTGGGGAAAAGACTCTGCCCTTGTGCCCCATCGCACGCAGATGATGCTGCAGGGCACAGGTGGAGGGCGTGGCCACCATGGCGCTGCTGGGCTGCCTGGGTGATCTGTGGCGGGCTGTGGAGGTGGTGGGTGGCCCAGTGGGCAGGGCGGAGCAGGGACAGGTGGGGAGGCAGTTTTTGGGCACTCGGTCTCTAAATGGTTCACCATCACTGATCTAAGCGTATAGTCCTTTGAGTTTGGCACTTAGATGCAATACCAGTATTGACCCATAGAAAGATGTTTAATAATGCCAGTGTCTACAAACCATGGCAATCCTTCCTACTCATTCAAAATATTTTGTTAAGGCCTCAGGGCTGCTGTATGTGAGAAAGGCTCTTCAGTCCTGACAAAGGAGCATATCCAGGGAGTGCTGGTTTATATGATAGCTCAAGCAAAATGATTTGGCAGGAATGAAGAAGCATGTTCACCCAGCAGAACAGCTTGAAAAGATTTGCGTTTATTAGCAAGATGTTAGTTGGTATTTTGGTTGCTGTGTCTGTTGCACACAATAATTATCTATCTTTGTATTCCCATTAACAGTCACTTAGTTTTCCATAAATTATTTTCTGTTCTTCTTTACTACACTATGCCTTTTGATATCCTAGTCACACTTTAGAAAGAAATCATGTTCTTCTAGTGCAGTGGTTCTCAATCTTTTTAGACCGGCGACCCTGGTCATGAGCAGGCGGCGCGCATGCACGGCGCCCCCCCTGTGCAACACGCATGCGTGGTGTCCCTCCTGTGTGGCGCGCATGCGCGACAGTGCCCCCCACGCGGTGTGCATGTGCTGCGCACCCTGCGCGGTGCGCATGCACTGCACCCCCCTGCGCGGCATGCATGCACTGCGCCGCCCCCCTACGCCGCCCCCTGTGCAGCGCGCATGTGCAGCGGCGCCCCCTGCGCCAGCTGAGAAAAAAATGGCGGATCGCGTTGTTTGGCAACCCCTGTGAAATGGTCGTTCAACCCCAAATGGGGTCGCGACCCACAGGTTGAGAACCGCTGTTCTAGTGCGGTGTTTCTCAACCTTGCTATCTTTAAGCTATGTGGATTTTAACTCCAATGGACTGGCTGGGGAATTCTGGGAGTCCACACATCTTAAATTTGCCAAGATTGAGAAACATTGTTCAAGTGTCAGTGTAATATGTAGAATATGATACTATCGGTAACATATGAAGTGATTGATAACATATGAACTTATTTTATATCCATCTGGATACAAAATAAAATTCCATGACAATATTGTCCAATATAGTAATGTATTTCTTGATTGTTGGGAGCTAATATTCTAGCACTTAATTCTTCCTATATTTTTTGGAAAATAAGAAAGTTCACAATAAAATATAACTATCCTCTTGAGGCTATGTAGGTTTTTTCAAACAGTGAATATTTGGCTTATGTAGGTTATTCAGTAAATATTTGGCTTGAAAAGCTTTGGATTGCTTATTTTACTTCTCTGTCCCATTAGTTCCTCTTCCATTGCTACATCTTATTATGTTATTAGCCTTGTCTCCTTTGGTTATTTACATACAATTTTATTAATTGAGATCATATAATCATAGGTTTTTCTGCCTGTGAGTCTGAAAGCCCTTTTTGTTTCTGACTCATCTATTGTTTTGCATCATATATTAATTACATCTTTCAAGTGAAATAACATTAACACTTCCAAAATCACGTTTTCTTTCTTTCCTTTCCCCCCTTCCTTCCTTCCTTCCTTCCTTCCTTCCTTCCTTCCTTCTTGAAACTTATTTCACTTCTATGTTAAGGCTGAGTCAATATTAATCCATTTTAACTATGGTGAGATGAAAAGATTTTTCCTTTTATCTTTTTTATGCATATGTTTTAATAATATTTTTATTAATTTTCTAATTTTACATTTAGGTATTTAAAAAGCAACATGGTAGCTGGGTTAATCAATAGGTCAGTAACATACAAAAATCTTTAGTGCAAATTTCAAACTACAACCTCAAATATTTCCTCTCTTTTTCCCTTAATATCTACTATCTCATATTTAAGTTAATACAGTTCTTATTATATCAACTAAATAAAAACATCATTATTACATTTATCAATAAATTTTAGCTTATACATATCTTAATTACTTTTACATTCAATCAATGTCCTGTTTTTGGTTTTTCCCAATTTTTAGTTTCCCATCAATATTCAAATTTAACATTTGATATTTATAATTTCCAGGTTTTAGGTAACCAGTTTCCTTTATCTCAGTTCATAACAGAATCTAATATTCAAATTACACATGTTATCAATTTGAGTATAATCTTGTTCTATTTTCTAGAAGTCATCTATTTCCTCCCATCTTACATCATCTAATTAATAATAAAGTATCCCCTTTAAATAAATCAAAGCCCATTATATATATTATCTGAGTTAATAAATCAAACATATTCATAATATTTTTTTTCATTTGCATCTAATTTTTAAGTATTAAACAAATAGCATCTTAGTGATGAGCTATATTGCTATGGCCGGTCTTTCCTTTGCTGGTTTGGAGGGCTGCCCCAGATCAAGCAGAAGGGCTGCCGCCCTCCCACAATCAAGCAGGGTCCCCTCCTTGCTTGTCGCCCCTACAGGGTGACTTTTGACCCTTTCCAGGATCCCCCTGTGGAGCGAAACCGAACGTGGAAGACGGAGCTCTCCTTCCAGCGGCCACAGTGGCCGCAATGGCAAAGCGGAAGCCTTTTTTATGCATAATTATTAATGAAGTGCCTAGATTTTGGCCAAATAAGATTTTTTTTTCTTCCAAGGAATTGACTGATAAAGAAATGAATGGCACTTCTACACGACCATCAGCCCCATCTTCCATAGGCTTTTTTACATTTTTGTGTGACTTCATGAATAACCTAAATAGTTGGTCAATGCCTCTATCTGGCCACTGAATACAGTACAAATGACTACTATTGTGCAGGGGAGAGGGCAGAGGGGATCTTCATTGTGGGAGGGAACATTGAAATCCATAGTGTCAGGCAAGACTGGAATCCTTGCCATTGGAAAACCACTCATCCTACAGCTCCAGAGGAAATGCAGTTAAATGATATTCAAGGCATTTCTGCTTCAATTGGAGCTGAGTTAGCAGCTACTTGGCTTAACTTTCCATCCCAATTTAAATCCTACAGTTTCATGGGCTTACAGTTAGTGCCATTCTCATAGGAAGAAATTTGCACACTAATGCCATTTCATTTAGTCTGAGGAAAGAAAGAACATCTGATGGCTTTATACTAATTGGTGGCATCAGAAAAGCCCTCTGATGTCCCCTGATTATCCAGGAGAGGAGAAACAGGTTTTGCAATATGATTACAATGGCTCTAAGCTAGAATACTTGCTATAACGTTCTTTGGCAAGTAGTCTCAAATTTATGTGGTCTGGATTTGAACTATCTGAATTTGACCTTGTTATGAGAGTACTTTTCATGAAGTAGTTTATTTGCTGCTACTTATTTATTTCTTAAACTTATAGGCCGCCTATCCTTCCAATAGGACAATTCTGGGTGGCTAATAGAACATAACAGGATAAACAGAAAAGGAATTAAAAGTTTTAAAACTATGCACATTAAAATTTTAAAAGTATGCAGAAAACCAGAACCAAGGAGACAGATAGGATGGGGATGATCCCATCAATCAATTTGAGTGCCTCCCTTGTGATCCCAAGCCAACTGGCAAAATCAAGTTTTAATATCCTTCTGAGAGCCCTAAAGACTGGGAGCAGTTCTCATTTTCAGTGGTAGAGTGTTCCACAGGTCAGAGCCTCAGAGGAAAAAGCTCTTTTTCCTGACCCCGCCTGCCAGAATTGCATAGCAGACAGGGTCCATAACAAACCTCTTCTGCTGGAAGCGTTGACAATGTAGAGAAGTATTTCTGCTAAGGGAGGTTAATGTTGTTTCATGTATCCTCATTGGCAGTCCAACAAAGCCAGGTCTCATTTACTCCAAAGCATTTGATATTAGTACACTCATTAAATGATTCTACTCAGTAGAGGATGCCAACAAAACAGAACAGAACAAAACAAAACAAAACAAAAAATAGCATGGTTGTAAATTGCCACAAAAGACTGAAGATGTATATTTCCTTTCTTTTCCA